ACACACACACACACACACACACACACACACACACACACACACACACAAGCCTATAACCCTATAAATTACAAACTAACTTTTGAAGCAGGTCAGAGCTGCATATAAAGGTCCCAATAAACACGCTCCACCGTTTATCGCCTACTTTCAGTCTTTCTTCCTACTTCACTGCTATGCTACAGGTCTCTAGGAAAGAACACAATAATTCCAACAAAAGAAAAAAGGTTTTCAAAAGAATTAAAAATCCCGTACTTCAGGGAGCAAATGACTGACAGTGGATAATAACCTGGCCATTTAAATGAGAAAAGGAGCAGCAGACTCCCAGGGACTAAAGCATGCTGAAAACTAAGAAGGCCGTAGAAGAGAAATTCCCTGCCTGTAAAACTGATGAGAAAATGGGGACGCTGGCAAACTGGTACGGGGTGGTTCACTAACAGGGCTTCTGGAGGGCAGTGTGACAGTAACTTTCAATTTGATAATACACATGCCCCTTGACCCAGTAATTCCAATTCTAGGAGTCTATTCTAAAGGAATACTCACTTCTGTCCAAATGATCTTCACTGCAGCATTGCCTGTAATAGCGAAAAATGGGAAACAACCTAAATGTCAATCAATAAGGGAGTGAGTAAATAAACTGAGGTATATCCACACTATTAAAACTATGTGGCCACTAGGAAATCAAAGCAGACTGTAACTCCTGACATAAGAATAAAGACATGACTGTGGAGTGGAAAATTCAGCACAACAAATAGGTGTGATCCAATTATTGTAAAAATTTTATGAACAAACGTTCATAAACATACACGAGAACTCTTGGAAAAAGGAACAAAACAATGCATACCCCACTGTTACCAGATACACACGGGGCTCATTTTAGCACTCTACAGACTCAGGAGTAGTGGAACCGCTTATAGAGTGTACCCACAGAACAAGATGTCCAAGAGAGAACACAATTTGGTCTGAAATGTCGTGTGTGGAGATGGATATCTACTGAAAGGCAAGGAATAGTTGTCTCAGAGTGGCTATTTCAACGCAAATCTATAAACAATTAGATCCACATTAGCTTTCTCATTAAAATGGCGAACACAAGCCTCTCAAGATGGCTCAGTAAAATGTCAGGTACTCTAGCCTGCAGACTTGAGTTTGGACGTGCAGAACCCACGTATCACAACACTGGCTCTGGCAGTCTGCACCTGTAGCCCTGGGGTCCGGGGCTGAGAACAAAGACAGAGGGGCTGCTGAAGCTGCCGAGCAAGCCTAGTTGAATCCTTGAGCTTCAAGCTGTCTCACAAAGAGGGAGAGGGATGGATGAAGCCACCCAGTGTTCACACGCATGCACCTTCACATGAATGCATACATACATCGCACACATACACATGCAAAAAGAATATCTAACTGAAAACTTGGTGGCCAGTGCGATGGCTCAGTGGTAAAGGCGCTGACATACTAGATGGCCCTAAACATGACCCCTGTGAAGGGTGGAAGTTGAGAAGATTCTTGCAAGTTGCTCTTTGACCCCCACATGCACACATCAAATACAGAGGCTAATAAAGTTGTTTGAAATTTTCTACCCTGAAAACTTTAAGTTTTACCTTGCTCACTTTAGAACTTGTATCCTTTTCTGCTTTTTTCAAGTGATCCTTCTTGTCTGTTCTCTGCAAAGCTGCTGGCTCGTCTTCCACTCCATCTTCTCCTTCCCCTTTCTTCTTATCAGCTTTCTGATCTCTGATCTCGGCTACTTTCGCTGTGGGTCTAGATATTCTTGGAGACCTTCTTAAAGTACGCCCCACGCTTGTTTTCTCTTCTTCCTTCCCCACCTTCTCTTCCTTGCTTTCAGAGTCTACAATTTGTGGGGGGCAATCTGGCTTCTTCTTCCGACTAGATATCCGAATTGTCAACTTGATGCCTTCCTTCTGCCTTTCAGAGGTGATCTCTCTGTTTTCTGAAGCAGTGCTGTCTCCTTCAGGAACTAACTTATATTTGAATTTGTTCTTTTGTGCAGAGCCCTTTGTCTCAGAGGCCTGGACATTGTCCAGACTAGCCGTTTCTACCTTCCTGGTCTCAGAAGTACCCTCCACGCCAGAAGCCTGGACAGTGTCCAGATTAGCCGTTTCTACCTGCCTGGACTCAGAATCCTCTTTTAGAATTTCTGGGCTTGAATTTTCCAGGGACTGGCCTTCACTTGACCCTCTATCTAGACATTCCTTTTTTTCTGAAGCCAGTTTCTCCTTGGGGCCAGTCATCTCGGGTGGGAGGGAAGTTTCAGTCACGTCACAAGGACCTGGCTTCTCTGAGTCTCGAGGACTCCTGACAGCCTCCTTGGGTACTGGACTCAGCCTTTCCTTATCAGCAACAGTCTTCTTGGCCTTCTCCACTTCTTCCGGGCATTCTATGCCTGGAGTGTGGGTCTCATTCTTACTTTTGGGGGCCTTCTCTTCGACTTTCGCCGTACAGGATTCAGTGGCAGATGGCGAGGGTTTTAAAGAGAGATCAGTCGCTGTCTCCGAAGGCTCAAGAGGCATTTCCACATTTGGAGGCGCAGACTCCTCTGACCATCCCTTCTGACTGAGGCTCTCTACGGTAGACACAGAGCTATCTACACCATTTCCTGAAGGGACTTCTTTCTCAAGCTCACTTATCTTTGAGCTTGCTGAGACAGAATTGAAGCTCTCGGCACCATTTCCCTCCATGACAGCATTTCCGTCCTTATAGGGGATGCTAGAACCATCTTCCTTTGTCTCACAAAGCTGTGTCTCCATTTGTTCTGGCTTAAGAGTTGGAGTTAGCTTGTCATTGCTAATTTCCCCATTCACTAGCTGTTTCCCTTCGTGACTCAGAGCACTGGAGGCAGACAGCCGTTTACAAGTCTCTTCCTCTTGTTTTATTTCTTCTTTCAAAAATTCTTTTGTTGGAGTAGCTGACTTACACAAAGGTCTGTCAAAATCATCACTCAGCTTAATTTCACGTTTTTTGAGTGGTATCTTGGCTTGCTGGTCATTTCTAAGCTTCTCTGTTTCCTCAGAAGATTTCTCTGGGACGTCCTGAGATGATCGGATATTGCCACCAAAGTCTACTCGCTCAGGCTCCTGTGTGCCCAGTCTCTCCGAGCTGCCCTTGAGATCCCTGGAGTCCACTCTGCATTCCTTCGCTTCTACCTTAATGGGTTTGACATTTTCCTTGAAGGAATCGCTTTCCTCTCTGATGATCTTTTTCCCCTCTGTTTCTGGCAGAGGTTTTTCGAGCTTTACAATGACAGGCAGTTTCACGAGCTCCTTTTCCTCCTCCTTTTCAGTCTTCACAGCTGTCTCTTCTAGAACATTGGCCACAGACCGCTTGATGGGATCTCCTGGCTGCCCATCACCTTTCGTCTTTCCATTTTCCTTCGATTCCTCTAGAACCAGAAAAGAATTCACATGACCGGAAGTTCTTAGGTTACAAACATCTTAGACAATTACAGTACTTATTTCAATTTCAAGCTGAAGTCTTTTGTAATAGGATATTTTGTGAGTCACAATCTGTAGATATTAAAATATAGACTTAGGTTTCTGCTTTCTACGTTTAGCTTCAGTGTTCTTGAAGGAATGCAAATGTTTAAACAGTTCAATAATTTATTCCAACTCAAGGGCTATCTCAGAAAGATGAAATAGAAAAGCTTCATAAAATATTCCCAAAAGGTCAATTTGTTTTTAATTAAGTGAGAAATGTTCTTATGTGTGAGTCATTGAGTATTTCAGGTCATCAAAGCAATGAGCACTGTGGAGGGAAAATGAAAAGAAACAAAGGAAAATACCCATGAGCCTGATGGTCACAGGCAATCACTGATAATGCTTTCAGGTCGCTCCATCTGTCCGTCTGTCCATCTACCTTATCAATCTATCTATCTATCGCTGCATATTTTCCACAAAGTTGGGGTCATATTGTCCTATTTTTGTCACCGAAACATCAGCACTTTTCGCTGATGGTCTGCAAGGACAGAACCCAGAGCACTGGGCAGGTCAGGCAAGTATGTCACTGGCTGTCCTTATTCATACTTGCAAATAGTCTGCATATCTGCAGCCATCTGCCAGCTATCTGTATACATCATGTATATGTATTATGCAAGTACACTATCACACAGAGGGTCTACAGAAGCAGTCTAAGTAAGCTCTCAAGGTTGGCTGATATAATGACCATATTACGGACAAAATGTTCAAACTTTCAAGTCCAATTAACATCCATTCTATTTACGCTTTAACTCTGTATTGCTCTATAAAGAATGATGTCCTGTGTTTATTACATGTTGCTAGATGTATGTTTTTCGCAGCACTTACTACTCAGAAACCTAGTTATTTATCCACACATTTATTTGTTCAACTAGTCTAAGACTTAACCGCTCAGAGGCAGAATCACAGATTATTTACCTACAGGGCGCGTAAAATGCCTGCTGATCTAATTGAACAAACTGCAATCGTGATTATCTATAGCCTAAATGTAAAACTAACAAACAAAAATTAACAATTTAAAAGATACTTATTTCTTATTTTTAATTCCGTTTATGTGTTTGCAAACATGGAAGGAGGGCAAAGGCATCAAATCCCTCAAGCTGTAGTTATGAGCAGTTATGAGCTGCCTGGCCTAGATACCGGGAACAAAATTCAGGTCCACTGCAAGAGCAGGGCCTGCTCTTACTCCCCGAACCACCGCTTGTGCCCCCATCAATGCCCTTTTAAAAGTGTACGAGAACAAGTAAGAAAGTGAGAGCCATGCAAGGTCCAACAGATTTCAGAGGCTGTGCTCAAGTGTGCCAAAGAACTACTCAGTATACTTACTGTAGAGAATACTTAAAGTAACAGCTAACGCTATTAAAACATACAGGGCTACAGACCAACAATTCACAGTACGTAAAATGTTCAAAATGCTGGGATAGCTCAGTTGGCAGCATGCACAGAGCACCAGCACCACACACGTCAGAGAGTGATGACACGCCTGTAATCCAGGTACAGAGACGCGGATAGAGGAGGATCACAATACAAGGTTATCCTCAGGTTAAATAGTGAAGTCAAGGTCAGTACCCGTTTAAAGTAAAAAGGAACTACCCGAACTATATAATTTATCAAAAACCGTGAAATTCAAAAGTGGCCTAGCTTCAGTGAAAGGCACTTGTGCATGAGGCTGTATCGACAGTGTACAAGGGAAATCACCCAGCGCCAAACTCTCTGCTTTACACCCACAACTTCCTTCTTGAAGGAAGAAACACATGGGAAAATAGTCAGAATAGAATAGGATGTTAAGAACAAAAATAAGACATAAAACTCTTTATCACATAATCCAATAAATGAATGCAACAGTAACCAGACCAGAAATAAAGTAAACTAAAGACCAGAAAGAACTAGATCATAATAGCAACAGTGATTTTCTTTTTGGTCATGGGGTAATTACTAAATACCTAATTTATTTTAGTATTACTATTAATTATTATTGTTTTGCTTTATCCTCAGATTTTCTATAGTAAATATATAATATCTTTTATAATCAAGTTGGAAGGAACTCAATTTAAGGTGACCACTGGTTTGTTCAGGATCAAGGAATTTTCTTCATTATAATGTTATCAGTACTAAACCCCATATACACATACCGAGAGAACATTCCTATTAATACTAACCTGTAATTAAACTATAACAATTAGTCCTACATTGCTACTACATTAACTTGGAAGTGTATCATTTCACACATCAAATAAATAAAGTATGTTGAACATTTTTCAAGATGGGCAATTGGGACTTAAAAACAAATTGCAGGAGAACAATACAAATTGGACCTGCTTATAAGCATCCCTCCAGATCTAGTATCCATGCATTTAACTAACTTTGCATTTATCTAGCCGACATATACTCAGAGTTAGCAGCAAACAGACACACTGTATCTGCTATGAACAGAGTTCAGCACTGGGGACTGGTGCACATCAGAACCAAAAGGAACAATAATACTGGGAGGTGAAATGACTCAGCAGGCCAAGGCACTTGATGATCTTGTTCACAACCCAAAACTAACATGGTAAAGAGAAGCACCTCTTGTAAGCTGTCCTCTGATCTCAATATCTGAACAGTGTCTGCACATGCGTGCACACGCACACACCGCAAGCACGCACATAATAAATGTAATTTAAACACAAAGAGGGGTTAGTAAGATGGGTAAAACTGGAGGGATGGTCAGCAGTTAAGAGAATTGGCTGCTCTTCCAGAGAATCAGGGTTTGACTTCTGGGATCCACATAGCAGACAACAACCAGCCATCTGTAATTCCACCTTCAGGGCAGTTACATAGAGAAACCCTGCCTCAAAGAACAACAACAACAAAAGCAAAATGAACTAACAGCTGGGCAGTGGTCCACATCTGTGAGCTCTGCCATGGAGATGCTAAGGGAAGACCCAGGCGCAGACAACAAACAGACTGTTCTCTTCTGTTTTGAGATAGTCCTACCATGTAATCTAGGAGGGCCTGAAGCTCACTATACAGAGCAAACTCCCTGCTTTACTTTTCCAAGTGCTGGGATTATCAACATACACCACTCTGCCTAGTTTCAAAAATTTACAAATTGATTAATCAGTATAACAGGTGGCAGGTCAGATTTGGTTGTCTGCCATGATTACCCTTGTGTATTATGCAGGCTTATTCCTATGTTAAGGTCTTGCAATTCAAGCATTACTATGTTATCTCATTTTCTATTGTGAATATGGTGGTCTAAAGTCAGGTGCAAGCCTATAAAATACCAGCTACTTGGGAGGATGAGGCAGAAGGATTGCAAGCTCAAGGCTAGCAATTTTTTTGTATTTGTTTGTGCCTTCCAAATTAGAACCCAGAATATAATGGAGAGTAAAATGGAAACTAACTGGTATTGCGTCTTTATAAGCACTGGAACCTCCCAGTAGTCTCCACCTAAACACATGGGCTGCACTCTCAACAACCTCAACAGGACCAGAACCTGCGCTTTCTGTCAACCATCATTTGGAATTTAAAGTTCAGCCATTTGGCAGCTAAGCATGTGCTGTGCATGGCTCCAATACAAGTGGCAAATTGAAAAAGGGATCAAAAGGCTTATTTCATAGTATAATCAGGCCTTTCATGGCATCTGAGGCAGAGCCTGCACAATTAAGCCAAGAACAGGAAAAGGTGAAGGTGAAATCAAAACCCGAGTGATCTGAAGACACAAGGCGGCAGCAAGAGACGCTGGGCCGAGGGGCTGGTGGGGAGCTTATGGACAGCACGCTTAAGAAAATTTAGCATTTGTCAAATACAATTCTGATTACATAAGTATTCAGTTGTTGGTAAATTTTCAAAGCTATTTTCTGTCATTTTTGGGTTTGTGCATAAGCTTATAGTAATGTGCTTCTCCTTAGCACCCACTAAGCAGAAATGACAGCATCATCCTGCTGAGTAAGTCTAAAGGATGGCCATTTGACTAACTATTAAAGATCTATTTGACTGATAAGAATGGCCTCAAAATTCTCTCCAGTGCTGATCTACCATCTCCTCTTTTTTGCCTAATTTCCAAATTGCAACCACACTTTTAAAATCTTGTCATGCCTTGCCTTCTGACTGCAACTGTATCACACGCTGCTGAAGGCTGCTCACACTTCTACAGAGTCCACAGCAATGATGCTGACACCCAAGAGGGGTGAAGTGACAACTAAAACCTACATTTCTTTCTTCTCACCCAGGGTCCCATCACAGTCGCTGCATCTGAGAGGACAGCACAAGAGATGAGGCAGCATCGCCAGGCGCAGAGCAGCTGGGAAGAGAGGGCTCAGACTAGGTAAAGTACTTGAGCAGGGGGGCTTGAGTTTGAGATCCAGCAGCCATGGAAAACCTGGGAACTGTCGCGTCTGCCTTTAGCTGGAGCGGCAGAGACCAAAGTGCCACTGCTGCTTGCTCGTCAGCCATTCCAGCTGAATCGTGGGCTCCAGGTTCAATGATAGATTGTATCTCAAAAAATAAGCAGAGAGGGGGCTGGAAAGATGGCTCAGTGGTTAAGAGCATTGCCTGCTCTTCCAAAGGTCCTGAGTTCAATTCCCAGCAAACACATGGTGGCTCACAACCATCTATAATGAGGTCTGGTGCCTTCTTCTGGCCTGCAGACATACACACAGACAGAATATTGTATACATAATAAACAAATAATTTAAAAAAAATAAGCAGAGAAACAGTACTGACCTCTTGACACACACAGTCTCAGCTAGAATACTGAGTTGACCAATAACAGACTAGGTAACCTAAGGAAAGCTACTTACAACAGTCTTTGTCTTACTTTCCGACCTAGGAAAATGAAGTAATTATATTTAGTAGGCTCCCCTTATCTATGGTTTTCCTTTCTGGGGCTTCAGCTCCCCACTCAAGGACAATCCCAAAGGAAAAGGTAGTGCAGAGGAGTGGGGGTGAGAAGCGATGGTCATATTCACGTGACTTAGTACAGCATATTGCTCCAGCGTTCTAGCTTACTGTTTCAAACCTCTTTACTGTCCATAATCTATAAATTAAAACTGACCTCTATGGAAAAACTTTACGTAACATATGTAAGTTGCAGCATTACCTACAGTTCTGATATTCACTTGACTCCCTGAAAACTTACAGCAATGTTTAACTATAGCAAGTTTATGCTGCAGATCATGCAATTCAGTATTATACAACTCATTTTAGAACAAAACAGGCTTGAGTAAAAGGCACACAATTAGTTATTTTATCCACTGTAGGGTAGGTATCAGTATGATTGGTTTATGGGGCTTCCTTGTAAGAAATTATGATTCGTACATAGATGTCCAATATTTGTAAAAATGAATGAAAAAGAAACATTTTCTTGGGAGCACCCTCCACCCACCCCGAGTCCAAGAGTTAAGCTAGCTGGGATAATACAGTAAGAGACCTCATTTCAGAAAGGAGAAAAAGAGAAACCTTTAAAAATAAACATTCTGTTGTTGGGGTGAGACATACAGAAAAGTTCTGTTGATTTTCTCTTTGTTTTTTGCAGTGCACGATGCTGATCCTAGAATCTCGGGTAAGCTCAGGTACTCTCCACTGCGCTCTACTTAGGTGCCGGGAAAGAGCAGAGACCAGAACTCCAGTATCCTGCTCCTTTGCTCCCTCCAGAGAGTCCTCTCCCAGGAGCCATTTCCTTTTTGCTAGGCAGCACGACAGCAGCAGATGCTGAGAAGTGCGCGAGAACGGCTGTCTGGAAGGAAGGACAAACAGCATCTACACGTCTTGCCCCTCCTATGCAGACCTCAGACAAGCGGGCCAGCACCACATGGGTTCTTGGCAAAAAGGCATCAACAGTTACAGTCCATACAGTACCACCAATGTCCTCAAGGGGACGGCGAGCACTCCTGTAGATCACTTCCCCTCTGCTCTGAGGCCCGACAGAGGAGTTCTGAATTATACACTAGGAAAGGTCAGCAAGGCTCGGCAGAGAAAAGTGCTGATGCACACATCATTTGCACATGTACACACCCACACAATAATAAAATTAATAAAAAACTTTACTAAAGTAATAATTTGCTTTGAATTTTAAACTACACAATTAATCATCCAGCACAAAGGCTTAGCAGGCAAGAACGTTTGCTGTGCAGGTCTAGGGATCCGAGTTCGAAACCCCACAACTCCTCAGAGCTGTCCTTACACCTCCATATTCACAGAGTAGCATCCACATCCTTCCCCCAAGAATAAAAACTTTGACAACTGATTTCTTAATCTTGTGTGTGGGGTCGGGTGGGGGAGGTAGAAGGTGTGTGCACGTGAGCATCGGTGAGCCAACACGGCTGCTGGGAATCTACTACAGGTCCTCTGGAAAAGCAAAAAGTGCTCTCAATCACTGAGCCATCTCTAAAGCCCAGAACCATTTAACTATAAAGAAATGCGAGAAAATCAAATTTAAAAAATTTATTTTATGTGTACGAGTGTGTTGCGCACATGTATGTAAGTGTACCAAAAACATGCCTCATTGCCTAGGCCAGAAGAGGGCATCAGATCTACTGAACTAGAATGCAGACATGAGCTACCATGTTTAAGAACCAAACCTGGGTCCTCTGCAGGAGCATCAAGTGTTCTTATCGCTGACCCAACTCTCCAGCCTCATGAATTAAAATGTTTTTTAAAGAAATCAAATTTAAAGTCTCCTACCCCTATTAATTTTTATTTTGCAGCTGGATGTGGTGGCTCACACCTTTAATCCTAGCACTCGGAAGGCAGAGACAGGAGGATCTCTGTGAGAGGCCATTGTGGTGGCTAGCGAGTACCAGGACAGCCAGAGCTACACAGAGGAGAAAAAAAAAATCTATTTTGCTCCCACCCATAATTTTTGTGGCTTTTATTTTTTGTGTATGGGTGTTTTGTCTGCATATATATCCATGGACAATGTGCATGCCCAGTGTCCTCAGAGGCCGGAAGAGCACACTACATATCCCAGAACTAAAGTTACAGATGGCTGTTAGCCACTGAGTCCAGAAGAGCAACCATCCCCTTTTGATTGAGCAATAATTTTACTTTAACTTTTTTGAAAGAATGAGTCATTTTTTAAATTTATTATTATTATTATTATTATTATTATTCTTTTTTTTTTTTTTACTGTAGGCTGGCGTGAAGATGTGAGCTGCTGTCATGCGGGTGCTGGAAACTGAACTTCCTCTGGAAGAGCAGTCAGTGCTCTTAACCACTGAGCCGTCTCTCCAGTCCCTTCATCAATCTGGCCTCAAATTCGTCTGCTGGGTGCCCAGACTAAAAGTGTGTGCCACCCATGTCCAACCCCTTTGATTTCCTTACTGTGGGTGGAAATAAACATGGAATGGATGGACGACCAAAATAAACAACCAGAACTAATGCTTAAGAGCAAGCTACTAAAAGAAACAAAATTAAAAGCAAAACAGACAAAAAAAAAAAAGAAAACCCTCTAGAATACAAAGGTATACTTTAAAATTATTACACCTTAACAAAGCAGCCCAAATAGCTGTTATATGTGAAAACGTAGCTCACTAGTAAAACTACCACCAGTACTTAAAATCATCTAAACAAGGGTCAAATAAGCATGCTAACTAAGAATTTCACTGCAGAGATGTTTAGTGTGTAGAAATAGCATTTCTCTTTAAGGAGGCTTAACTGTCTGTTTTCAAGCAATGTTTCCTATATATAGGGATTTGTTTTATGGATAGTTTCTCCAAATCATCAAAGAAAAGAAAGAACACAATGTAAAACACAAAACAAAAGCTTCTGGTGGAAGAACACATGGCAGGGCACGCAAATTCCTTCTCAGCATTAACAATGAAAACACAACTAAAGTCGGGCGGTAGGACACACACTTTTCATCCCAGCACTGAGGAGGTCAAGGCCAGTCTGGTCTACAAAGCAAGTTCCAGGACAGTCAGAGCTACACAGAGAAACCCTGACTTGAACCCTTCCCGTGTGTGTGTGTGTGTGTGTCTGTCTGTCTGTCTGTGTGTGTAAAAACTAAAGATATCGACTTAGCTGGGAAGATAGTTCAGTTCAGAAGGCATTTGCGGTACAAATCCAGGTTTGCTCTCCAGAACCAACATTAAACAAAACAACACAACACAACACACAGATGTGGCGGCTTATGTCTGTGATGCAGTGTAGGGAGGAGACTCATCAGGGTGCATGTGCAGCGGGTGCAGCCTAACCAAGGACCCCCAGGACCTGGTGTAACAGGCTTTCTCAGGAAAACCAGGCGACTGGCTCCTGGGGGAAGGAAACCTGAGTTGGACTGTGGCTTTCACATGTATGTACACAGACATGCTCCAGCAACATGAATGTGCATTAGAATTAGTTGATTTCTTTTCTACAAGTCAGTACTTAATTTTTTTCCTTCAAAAAGGTAGAGATTTCATTTGTTGGGATAGAAAATTAGCGACCGCAATGGAAGTAGAATTAGCAATTCTAATTGTCATAGACTGAGTTACCACAACAAAAGCAAACAGTGCACTCCAGTTTTAAAATGTCCAGGCATGGGAACACAATCCTAGCTACTCTGTCTGAGGCAGGAGGATGACCTGACTAGTGTGAGGAATACTGTGACACCTAGCTGATACAGGAGGAACATACACAGCAAAGGAGCTGAACCAAAATATTTTCAAAGATATACGAAAGATCAGCAAGCATCTGAAAAGATGCTGAATGCCATTAGTCGGTAGGGACAAATACAAGGAACAAAATAGCATTTTATAGTGATTAGAATGAGTTAGCAAACAAACAAACAAACAAAATCCCAAACAAAACAAAACCAAAGCAGAACATGGTAGTGCACGCCTTTAACCCCAGCACTGGGGAGACAGAGGCAGGTGGATCTCTGTGGGTTTGAGGCCACCCTGATCTACAGAGTGAGTTCCAGGGAGGCCAGAGCTACACAGTGAGATCCCATCTCAAGAAGAAAAGGAAAAGAAAATAGTATGGCAAGGCTTCCAAAAATGAAGCAGTATTATCATAAGATTCAGCAATTTCATTTGTGGGCATGTAACGCAAGTACAAACTCAAAGAGGGATCTGTATTAGCATGTCCAGCGGGGTTATTCACAGCAGCCTGGAGGAGGAAGGAACTCTGATGGTCACCGATGGATGAACAAAACATGGGGCCTACACAGTGAACTATTACTCGTCCTTAGAGAGGAAACCATGACATGTGAACTAACGTGGACGCCTAAAGACAGCACATGAAGTGAAACAAGGGGACCAGTAATTAAATCCATAAACAGAATCCAGGGCTGCAGACAGAGAACACTGGGACTTAACGTCTAACTTGATCAGACATCTGGTGAGGGAGGATCACGATGTAAATAAATGCAGGATCTGAATGCCCCAGACATTATAAACCTAAAAATGGTTAAAACTGTCAAGTCTCTGATACAGCTTTCCTCACCCTGACCAACAAGTTCAATAAACGTCTTGCCATTCAGTTTGGTTCAAGCTGGCCCAGAACTCAGCATTTTCTGCCTCTGCCTTCAAAATGTGGAGCGCACAGGTGAGAGGCACCACACCTATCAAGAGTCTCAAATCAGTAAGACACCACCTTAATGATTTGAACATACTTCATTTATATTTTTTAAATGCCCGAAAGAGCAAACATTTCTCTCTCTCCCTCTTTTTTCCCACTCTTTTGAAATAAAGTCTTTTACAGGATGGCTCTCAATTGGAAAAGCTGAGGTAAAATTCGGAAGCACATAGTTGGGTGGAGGAGCAGAAAATAGAAGAGATTACAAAACAAAGCAAAAGAAAACACACAAAAAAAACCTTGTTTAGGTGTTTCTTCCTCTTTTTTAGTCTCCTCATCCTCTAGAGTGGGACTTTCCCGGGAAGAGTCTTCCTGTTGGCTAGAGTTTTTCAATAGTACAGGATCAATTTGTGCTTTCAGGAGTGCAAGAGTCTCAGCCAACTCGTTTCGATTTCTAAACAAGGGAAAAAATAAGACAGCATAAAAATCTTTCTGAGTCTAGTGAATTGTGAACAACACAACTGGACATTAAGATGGGGGCGGGAAAAACAACACAATCAAGAACATCAAAGGCCCGGGAGCAGTCCTAAAAAGCCCAGATACTAAGGTTGAGTATTGGAAAAGAGCATTCATTAAGTGTACTGTTCATCACACAGAAATTACAGTTTCCTTACTGAACAGAATGGTAACACATGACACTGAAGGAAAACAATGGCACTACAACATTAAATAAGTCAGAGTGTGACCCCTTCTTAAGGATTCTTTAATCTTTTAGGAATCAGTGTAAACCTTGCTCGTGGCTCTTTTGACAATTCAGACTTCTGTATGGTTTTCTTCTTAGTCACCTTCCATGCCATCTTCTATATAGGTCCAGGGATTCGTCTATCTCTGTCCCGTCCCCATCCCCACACCAGTGGTGAGGTTACGGACACCGGCCACTGGTCCAGTCCTCACACATGGGCAGGAAGCACTCACCCCCCCAGCCAACTCTTCAGACTCTGCATCATGTATACCCTAGAAATACAATCTGTAGGTAACTTTACACAATATTTTCAGCAATTTATCGTATTAAATACAGTGTGTATTGTGCCAACAGGAAGCAAAGACATTACTATCTCTACCAACTATGTGGGCAATCAACATTAAGCATCAACATTATACTTGTCTGAGTTTATATGCTACCAATAAATTATTATTTTCTTACACTTGTTCACATGTAAACAACTGGAATAATGTCACTCCAGTGACGTTCAGGGACTCCGGCAGCAGAAGAGGAGCTCCAGAGCACCAATATCAGCTGCCTAACAGCAATCTATGGTGGGTTTCAGTCTCTACTGTGGTGCTGCCCTGTGGCCAACAGAGCTGAAGGGATGGCTCAGTCATTGAAGACCAGGCTCACAACCAAAAATGGTAACAGACCTCTGTACAATTTGTTCACACTTCTTTTGAAATGTTTCACATTTCAAGTGAAATGTGTTCACTTGAACACATTTCTGAGTCAGGCCCCACTGTGCAGCTCACACTGATCTCGAGCTGTCAATCCTGTGTCGCTGTCCCCACTGCTAGCGTGTGCTGTCTCATGGTTGGGCTTTCTTTTTTTAAAGTGACAAGGAAAATCTCTAGCAATTGAGGGATCTAGAAATGAGTCCCTTCCTTAGTGATAAGGAGATACTCTGCTGGATGGCTGTTGGAATGTTCCCACAGATCCAAGTATTGGGGTCTGACTGACAGCTGGTGGGCACTTGGTTATGATCTAATCTCTGGGTTAATTTTTTCTTAAAGTCCTACTGCGATGGCATTACTGGGAAGTGGCAAGAAGCAGGCGGCTAGTCACTCGAGTATGCACTGGAGCACTGTGTAGCCTGCTCTGGTGCCTTCCTGTAGCCCTTCTCTACATGCTGTCCAGAATGAGAGAAACAGCCTCTGTTGTGGGACAATGGTTTGTACCTTGTCAATTGTATTTTAATAAAACGCTGATTGGCCAGTAGCCAGGCAGGGAGTAGAGGCGGGACAACCAGGCAGGAAGTAGAGGCGGAGCAACAAGAACAGGAGAATTCTGCGAAGAGGAAAGCTTATTCTGCAGTCGTGATCCAAACACAGAGTAAGCAAGATGTGACTGCCTAGCTGAAAAAGTTACCGAGCCATGTGGCTAACATAGACAAGAATAATGGGCTAATATAAGTTATAAGAGTTAATAAGAAGTCTGAGCTAATGGGCTAATCAGTTTATAACTAATGTAGACCTCTGTGTGATCTCTTTGGGACTTAACAACTGCAGGAACCGGGAGGGAGAGAAACCTCAGACAACATTCTACCACATGCTCATATCACCATGATACTCTCTCGCCACAGGCCCAGAAACTAAGGAGGATGGACTGTAGGTACCCACGAAAACATTCGTTAACCCAATTCCTCCCAAAATTTCTCAAGTACTATTGAGATAACTTATTCAGTAATGTGCTTTCCTTACAAGCATGAGGACTGAGTTCAGTTCCATCAGTGTTAGTAGGTTTGGGTATGGTGGTACACACTTGTAACCCTAGAGCAGGAGAGGCAAAGATATGTGTGTCTTCCTGGGGCTTGCTGGTCAGAGAACCTAGCTCTAGACTAGTGAGAAATTCTTTAAAAAACTAAGGAGACAGCACTTGAGGATCAACAGCCAAGGCCGCTGCTCCGCCCTTATACGCAAACACTAAGCACCCAGCAGTGCAAATTCACACATGCAAAATTTCTTCCATGATCAAGTTTCATCTTAGAAATCTGATTTTAAAATGGACGTTTCTTTTGTTATGAGTGCATACGGCTCTAAGTCCCCTACAAGGTGCATATAACATTTTTTCTGCGGTTATTAACATCATCTTCTTCACCACCATTGTCAAAGTCATGGTGGTTCACAGTCTTTGACTATTTCATCAGAGGTGAATGAATGAATAACTGGAAATTTAGTGTTGATGTTTAAAAGGTTGTTATCTATTTCTCCCAGCTTACAATAAGAGCCTCACACTGTTTCCTGTTTGATTTGTCATGTGTAAAAAGGAAGCTCCAATGGAGAGGAGCTGGAGCAGAACCTGTAGTTAAGAGCACTGGCTGCTCTTCCGGGGGCCTGGTGAGATTCCCAACACACCCACACGGTGGCTCACAACTACACATAACTCTAGTTCCAAGGACTTTGATGCTTCCTTTTGGCTTCTTTTCACACCAGGCACAAATATGGTGCACAGACATATATGCAGGCAAAATACATCATACGCATAAGATTAATCTGAGAACTTTTTAAAGGAATTTTCCTTGATATACAGAATCCTCAATGCTGAGCATCACCACCACTACATACAGTTAGAGACCAGAAACTACACCAAGTCAGCACAAGTGTGTCTTTAATTGCTGCATCGCAAGTGCCATGGCAGCACGGAAGTTATACAAAGTCTCCTCCTCCTGTGTTAACTTCTTGGAGACAGAGTCTCGTGGATCTAGGTTGGCCTTAAACTCTATGAAGCCCCAAATAACCCTCAACTTCTGATCTTTCTACTTTTATCGTTAAAGTGCTAGAATTTAAGGCATGGGAGCTCACTGAACGCCTTTTGGCCAGGCAGTAGTGGCACATACTTTTAATCTCAGCACTCTGGAGGTAGAGGCAAGCAGATCTCTATGAGTTTGAGGCCAGCCTGATCTACAGAGCAAGTTCCAGGTCAGTCAAAGAGAAATCTTGGAGAGAGACAGAGAGAGAGAGAAAGAGAGAGAGAGAGAGAGAGAGAGAGAGAGAGAGAGAGAGAGAGGGAGGGAGGGAGGGAGGATGAATAAAAGTAGAGAAAAAAATAAAAGAAAAAGAAGAAACTCCTTTTAGAAACATTCTACACACTCATAATTCTGTTAGTTGCTATCAATATGGCTTTAAAAAAAAGTCCTTATTCTTCAGCTAAGGGTGAAACTATAAAGTTCCATTTAGAGTACGGGGCATGGCACGAGGGATGGGTTTGTAGAGAATTTCAACTGGAATAAGCAGAATTGTCAATGAATACTAAAATTTTGTGGTCATCATCCAGTCCAGGTTTGTCATGTGAGCATGAGCTACTGTAAAGAAAACTCTTTTTAAAACAAATGAGGAGAGATGTCTGCAGTAACCCTTGCCTTTTGTTAGAAACAGAGTAGAGGGAACCCACAGCAGCAAGTGCATGGACCGAGTCACACTCTGAGCATGTGCTACAGAAGCACAGACTGCCCAGCAGGGAGACTTGTCCTGTGGAAATCAGCAGCAGCAAGGAAGGCATGGACAGGTCCGCCAAGAAACTCCAATACCTCATGATCACATCTTTAGTCAACTCAAGTCTTCAGAGGCTAATTCTTAGTCTTTCCTTGTGTTTCTGTGGTCAGCCCATCAACTGCTCACCAGTCCTGAGCGCTCCCTTGGTTACGGAGTCGCACAGCACTAAGTGGCAGGTGCACTCTAAGGGAGGGGCTCTTTCTTACACGAACAAGACCGTCATTTGTCTGCTTTCTCCTGTAACTTCTCATCACCATTTCTTGGCACAGAGCTTTGGAAAGTCATCCTTATACTCTTGGGCACTCTCATCCCAACACCATAGTTTCTGAATGGTACTGTACACCAAGGCCCAGCTTCTCCAGCAACTTAACCTTCAGTTGCTCACAGAGTATTTGGGGGCCTTTTAGATTAAACAGTAATTTTAGATTCCAAAGCAAAACTTCAAAACCAGTGAGCAAGGCAGGGAGCTCTTGTGCTTGTGGGGTAGCACATGCGACCTTCCCTGTGCATTGGGACTGCACAGATGCTGTGCTTTCCTCCCTGGACAATGTGGGGAGAGCTCCAAGCTCAAGATGACTAAGAGGGCTCTGCTCCCTCCTTGAAGATGCTGAACAAACTGGATGTTAATGCCTATGTTTTTGAATGCACCAATCACACGAGATCAGAGGTGGAATTTTCTACTTGAAGCACCATACTGTTAATACAAGTTTTAGGTTTTGGACATAAGAAATCAAAGACCAAATTATCTTTAGTATATCAAATTAGTCTCCCTTGGAAAGAAAGAAAATTGCCACTAGTGGACATCTGTTAGCTATTAAAATGACAACTATTTATAGTGTGGGAATACATATAATATTTATATATATAATGAGCATAAACAATAAAGAGTATTTTTATCTATTCTTTTCTTGATCTTTCTAAGACAAGTTTTGTCTGCATAGTCCTGGCTGTCCTGGACAATCACTTCTCTCTAATGTAAAGTAAGTGCTCTTGTTTCTCCTAAACTCAGTTCAGCGCTGTGATCTCAGTCTTTTCAATCCTTCACAGATTTCCCCCAATTAATCTTTTATATGTTTAAAGAGAGACAGCTTATTCTGTATTAACACTATACATCTTTCAATTAATATTTTCCCTAATCAATTAGTGTTCTTCCCACAATGTGCTAAGTATTTTTCTCTTCAGGTTTGAGATCAGAACTTAAGTATATTCCAGGTATGACTTCATCAGGATTGAGAGAGTACACCTCACATTCTTTTGTGAACCAAATATATATTAATTATATATATTATGTGATTAGTACATGTTGTTAGTGGTGATTAAACTGAAGGCTTCACAGCTGCTATGCAAGTAGCCTTCACTAAACTACACCCCCAGTCACCCAGTAATACATCTTTAGGGAGAATGTACTGGGTATCAAATCCAAGGCCTCCCATGTGGTAGGCAAGCACTCTCCTAATCAACCATATCCCTAGACCAAGCAATCTCCTGTCTTGAGATAGGGACTCTGTCCACTGTGTACATCAGGCTGGTGTCAATCTCATAAAGATCACCTGTCTCTGCTGGGATTAAAGGTGTGTGCTACCACACGTGGCCAAAGTATTATCTTTTAAAAGAAGCTAAAATACATTTTTCATATTTAATGTTCATAATATTAAAGACTTAGGAGACAAGACAGTTAACAATATTTACCAATAGTAGTGCCAGTGAGTCATTAAGTTACGAGCTAATTAAAACACCATGTTTTATATTAAGCATAAATACACCCAATTAAGAATCTGAGGAAGCCAGGTAGTGGCAGCACATGGGAGGCAAAGGTAGGTAAATCTCTATGAGTTCAAGGCCAGATGGTCTACGGAGTGAGGTCCAGGGCAGCCAGGGCAACACAGAAAAACCCTGTCTGGAAAAACCAAAATCTGAAGAAAACTAATGTTATCCAAAAGGTACACTCTATACAACTAAAAGCAGTGCTTACAACATATGGGACTTCACAGATGCATAGATGCATAGAATCCAGCTGGGAATCCAAGCTAAACTACTCACACCCCCATATTCTGAATTTCTTAGTATGGTGCCCACTGGACAAGTCTACCTAATGAAGTAAAGAAACCTATGTCCGCCATGTGTTTAAAACTTGGGTTAGCGGACGTCAGTTACTGCACTCAATGTTTCTGAATGGTCCAAACATGTCTACATTTGCGTGGTCAGAGTTCCTGAACACAATGATTAAGAATAACACACGTGCGGCTGGTGGCACATGCCTTTTTAATCTCATCACTCAGGAGGCGGTAGACAATCTCAGTGAGTTCAAGGCTAGCCAAGAACACACGAGAACCGGGTCCCTGAAAACAACAATTCCATTCATTCATAAAGGCTAAAGACAACCTGCTACAGCTTCACTCAACCAATTCCCACTGTTAACACAAGAAAACTGCTCAGGGATTCTTCATGAGTGCTGCTTCTGTACATGGACTATAGACACATTCTTTCACAGTTACCAGAAATACAGATTAACAAACAAAAAGGAAATTTTTGCTTAGTTTTAGTTTTGGTTCTGTGTGATTTTCATGTTCTTTTTGGATAAAGTTGTGGCCCAGTCTGGCTTTAAATTTACGGTGTAGCCAAGGATAACCCTGAATTTCTGATCCTCCAATTCCCACCTAGGCTAATAAGAATGTGCCCAGGTTTGTTTATGTAAGCTCTGAAGACTGAATGCAGACTGAGTATCTAAAGAAACACTCAAGGAACTGCCCCACCCCCAGCAGCTGGTTCTTGTTTTCTGAAGTCAGAAGCAACTGAAATAAAGCTAGTCATGGCTGAAAAAGGGTGAAAAACACTACGAGAATTTTAACCATCTGCTTATAAGTACTTCTTTAACAAAGACACCAAGTGTCTGCGTCTGGGGTTAGGAAGTTGTAGGAAGAGCAAGGGTCTGTGACTCCACTGTGTGCAGCGCAAGCCTGAGGACTGGAGTTCAATTCCTGGAGAGAACCAACTTCCCAAGGTTGTCCTCTGACCTCCACACGTAAGCTGTGGCACATGCATGTCTCTTACACACACACACACACACACACACATAAAGAAACTTATTTTTAATGTGGCATATTCTTTTTTTAAAAGGGAAGAAAAGAGCAAATGTTCACCGAGCATGCAATACGGTCCCAGTGCAGTCTTTCATATAGTTCTCGTAACAGCTCGGAGGGAGGCAGCATTATCTTAACATAAGGCCGGGAAGAAGATGGTTCAGTGGGTAAAGAGCTTGCCAGGAAAAAATGAGGACCAGAATTTTCACAGCCAGAATCCACAGAAATGCTTAGTGGGCATGGCATCCAGGAACCTGTAATCCCAGCACTCAGGAAGCAGAGATAGGCGATCCCTGGAGCAAGCTGGCTAGCCATACTAGCCATACCGGAGAGCCCTGACTTCAACTGAGAGACAAAGCCTCAATGAACAAGATGGAAGGCAACTGAGGAAGATTTCCAATGTCAGCCTGCAGCCAACAAATTAATGTACACGGTGTGCTCACACACATGCAAGCACACATACAACATACATGCATATCAATGCACAGAAACATATGTAAAAATTAAATGAAGCACAGGAAAATAACTGCTAGAGATAAGGAATATGCCTATATGTGGTAAAAAGATAAATCCAGAGCCAAATACATATTAGCTAAAATAACTATGTCACAGACACACTTCACAGTGTACATGAGAAACTGTTTCAACTGTACAGTAAACATGAGTAACAGTAAACATGATTGCTTTTTTTGTGTTATGCTTTCTTGATATACAAAGCAGGAGAGAATATTTTTTTCTGAAGTATGCAACACTATTCTGGGGAACAGCACACCTTGCAGTAGAACATCACGAAGAGAGCCCTTCTATGTGTCTACATTCACAGAGAACAACAGTGGATGCATTATGTTTTAGGAGTTTGTCGTTTAGCTCCGCTGAGGAACCTAGCTAAGAAAAGAACCATGCAGAACCTGCTAACACCCCGTGAACTCATTCAACTCACACTCACTCTTGGAGAATGCAAGGTGAACTTTACTGATAAAATAAATATTATGAATGGATTAGTAATCACTAATAAAAACATGCTAAGAACAAAAATACGACAAAAAACAGGGAAGGGTTCACATCATGCAGCTCTTTACAGCCAGCAGTTAGGTATATGTGAGCCTTCCCTACTTCATCATATCAATAATATTTCTACAATTATGAAATGTGGCAACTAATGAGATATTGATAAATGATGAAACTGCAAGATAGAAAATTAAAAACACAAACATTCTCTGCAAAGGTTTGACATCACCCACCTATTTAAAAAGCAAAAGATTAAAAAAAACCAATTTCAAGATGTGAGATTTCAAATGAGAAATGAAAATGTAAGGCTGTAGCACAAAACAAATGCTCTTCAGAACTTCAAGAAAGAAACTGCAGATAAAGTGCTCAGACTGAGATACTCAGAGAACTAAACAAAGCTTTTCTTACATTCATAGCAAAGAATATTTTCTTCCATGCATATACCTTATGCACTAATATTCAGATCATAACATTTTGAGCACAAGTATATATCCTGATATGGAATGAGACACTGTTTAAATTCACTAGGCAATTACTAAGTAGCCACTATGGACATCGTGCTCAATACTAGATTGGCCATAGAAAAGCTGTCAGTTCTCCTTAAGAAAACGACCGCTCTGGACTCACAGATCACATTCCAATAGAGAAGAGGAAAAGAAAGCAATATGTAAAGAGATCCTTGTACCTGACAATGCATTTCCAAGAAGAGCCATCTTGATCATCTTGTTCTTCTATGTACATTCTGACATTGTGGTCTTGATCCAACTGGTACCAGTACATGAGGCCATCTTTGTCCCGCCCAATTGGCTGGAGACGCATAGTATCAGCATCCTCCTCATTAATTATATTCTTGAATTTAAGATTGTCATCAAACTGACACTCGCAGAGATACTGAAAAACAGTTAGACTGTGGCTTAAAATACTACACAAGCACTTCTCCCATAAGCACCTGCCCTTTCAGGAGTGACGGGGACACAGCCGAGGGCACACGGGCATTTGTTCTGCACTACTCTTCCAGTTTCTTACGTAGAATCTGCTTAAAATAATCAAAATAACGGGCAAATTTGAGTGTAACATTTTAATTTTACACAAGAGTAGAGTTTTAATACAATCACTTATATTTAAATTATATTCCTAAAACGGTAAGTTTATGTGCACTAAAAGCTTCAATTATAGCATTGTATAACATTCTATTTAAATCTCAGCTTATGGGGCTGGAGAGATGGCTCAGCGGTTAAGAGCATTGACTGCTCTTCCAAAGGTCCTGAGTTCAATTCCCAGCAACCACATGGTGGCTCACAACCATCTGTAATGAGATCTGGTGCCCTCTTCTGGCCTGCAGGCATACACGCAGATTACTGGATACATAATAAGTAAATAAATAAATATTAAAAAAAAATAAATCTTAGCTTATTTTTTAAAGTACTAATACTATTGGCAAATAAAAATCATACACATATGGTTTTATATACAATGCAGAATGATTAGTTCAAGCATACTTTGTGATGAGAACTCTTAAAACTACCAACAATTTTCAACTACATAATTACAATCACTTTCCAGTATCACCTTCAACACAGCTAACTGAGACTTTGTGAGCTCACCCCAAATCTCTCCAGTCTGACTGCTACCCCACTGACCAGGGCTCACCCCTGGTGTATTCTGTGTTCTTTAAGGCTCTATGTTAAAATGAGAACATGGTATAATTTCTCCCTGAACCTGGCTTACTAAATATAATGTCCTCCTGATTTAAAAATGTTTTAAATTACATTTTGACTTATTTTCTTTATGTGTGTGGGAGGGCGCCCATGTGCCATGCTTGCATGTATAGGCCAGAAGACAAGTGAGAACAGGTTCTTGCCTTTCACCATGTGGGTCCCAGGATGGAGCTCATGTCCAGACTTGAAAACGGCTGCTGTTACCCACTGGGCCATAGACCAGCACTTGTTGCTTTCAGACTACAAAGCATCCCATCGTATTTGTGTGTGTACCATGCATTTCGTATTCACTAAGGTTCATCGCTACTGTGATTACTACTGCGGGGTACTGAGAACACAAGTATGGGTTCAGCGCTGGCTTCATCCCCACAGGACTTATGCCCAGCAGGGGGATGCTAAATCATTGTGTCATTCCACTTAAACATTTCTGAGCAAACTCTCACACATTTTGTTTCTAGGCAGCATTTTTTAAAATCCTTTTTTTTACTCTGAAGGCTGCAGGAGAAGGACTGCTTGAGTCTAAGAATTTAAGACAAGTCTTTGCAAAACAGTAATCCAGGTTCAGACAAATAAAACACAGATTTGGACACACAATATAAATGCTAAGTGGACAGGTACCCAGAAGTATGCTCTATGCATCCTGTAGGCTTTTCATGTGGGTTAGAAGAGCAATTAGTATTTTACAATACAGTAATAGCTATTCCATAGCCATGTCTTAGATCATACACATGCGGATGCTGTGCATTAAGAATCACTTAGCCAGGCGGTAGTGGTGCACATGTCTTTAATTCCAGCACTAGGGGGCAGAGGCAGGCGAATCTCTTGAGTTTGACCAGCCTGGTCTACAAAGTGAGTTCCAGGACAGGCAGGATTACACAGAGAAACCCTGTCTCGAAAAAACAAACAAAAATGAACAAAAAGAGAATCGCAAAAGCCCTTGAGGTCTCGTGAGTAAGGATGCTACTGATAAAGCACTGTGGAAAGGCAGTCACGAAGACCTCACTCAGTCTCTCACAGAGCAGCCGCTTCTCTCTACTGACCATGGCTTAGTAAGTGGGAAATATAAAGAAACAGGAAAACTCAAACTTGAAAGCAACCCTACGCTGAGATTGAGATGACCCATGAATACTCTTGGTTACATGAAGGCTTTAACACAATGGCATGCCCTTAGTTATCTGGAAAGCAATGAGTACTTAAAATTTTATTAAATTATTATTATTTGTTATTTTTATTATTGTTGTTGTTGTTTATTTAGCACAGTCTGTAATATATAGTGATCGATGAAGGTGACAACTGGAACAATGATTGAAATACCCAAAGCAACTGCTTCCCTATTCTGTTACTGTATCGCCAATCAGAAATGATTAAAACTGGATACACTGTAAAGACAATCCTTAAAAATAGTAAAGACAAGAATTAACTTTTATGTGTGAGGTGTGCACGTGTAAGTATGTGTGTGTTCCTACACATGGAGGCCAGTGGTTAATGTGAAGCTGGATTCTTAGACTGTTCTCCACTTTTTACTGAGACAGGATCCCTCACTATGCTCAAGGCTTTGCAGGAGTACCATCTATCCAGTTTGCCTCCCAAGGGCTGGGACTACAGGCAGGCTGACATTCCACCTGGCTTCTAAGTGGGTTCTGAGGATCTGAGCTCTGATCCCCATGCTTGTCAGGTAAGGACTTTATCTGCAAAGCTACCTCCCCAGCCCAGAATAGACACTGAAAAACAAAACTGTTCCTCTAAACATAAAATGCCCACCCTACCGCCCACCTCCTGCCCTCTGTTGAGATATAAGAAATAGCCCAGGATGGCCTCAAACTTAAGATCTTCCTGAATCAGCCTCCCAGTTACTGAGAGGCTGTGCACATTCACATTTAATTTCCTTTTCCTTCAAATTCTGTTGTTACCTGTATTGATCCACTTATTTGTGGGTGCACTTGCAGACCACAGTGCACATGTCTTGGGGTCCCATGGATGTAAACTCGGGGTGTCAGAATTGGTGAAGTGCATTTACTCACTAAACTGTCTTGCTGACCCTTGGTTTTCTTTACTTTGTAATTTAGGAGTCAAAGTAAACTTTAAAAAAATTAACTACAGGTCTGGAGAGATGGCTCAGAGGTTAAGAGCACTGGCTACTCTTCCAGAGGTCCTGAGTTCAATTCGCAGCAACCACATGGTGGCTCACAGCCATCTGTAATGAGATCTGGTGCCCTCTTCTGGCCTGCAGGCATACATGGAGGCAGAATGTTGTGTATATATAATAAATAAATAAATCTTTAAAAAAAAAATAACCACAACAGATAACATATGCATTACCTTTAAGAGTGCTAGTTTGCACTCCACACTCATTTCAAGATAGCCTTTTTTCTCCATCTCCCATGCCCAGGTACTGTTAAACTCTTGGCATATCTGTAAGAGAAAATGAATAGCTTAATGCATGAAAACAACTTTGGTTGCCATTTGTTATACTTTGATTTAGAATGCTCCCCAGTAGCTTTCAGTAAAAGCTTACTAGTTGAGTAGGTTAGGGCTAGATGTAGAAGCTGGTCACTGGAGGGCATACTGTCATCCCTGTTTCCTGTGCCCACTTCTGCTTCTGGGATCTCAGGGGATGAAAAAGACTGCTGCACCACATACACGGACATGATGCTTCTGGGATCTCAGGGGATGAAAAAGACTGCTGCACCACATACACGGACATGATGCTCTGCCTCACCACAGGCCCAGAGACAGTGGGGCCAAGAGATTGTGCACCAAAACTTCTGAAACCAAGCATCAAGACAAACCTGTCCTTATTTGGGTTGGTCTTCCCAGCCATTTCGTCATAGGATCATTAAGCTGAATGGCAATAAATGATGGTTGTTTTCTATAATTATGCTGTATTCTTATTAATACACATATATAGGGTAAAGAGTTCAGAAATGACATGCCAATCCAATTCCAACTTATAATTCATACTGCTAGAGCTACAGAAGGATTTACTAATGCCTATGCCTATACAACTTAAGACAGAACCTGACTGGACAGACGGCTCAGTGCTTAGAGCACTTACTCCTCTTGCAGAGGATCCCATTTCAGTTCCTAGCACCCCCATGGTAGCTCACAAACATCTATAATTCCAGTCCCAAAGGATCTTTCAATCTCAGAGGGTACCAGGCACATACATTGTACACATATATATATGCAGGCAAAACACTCATACGTATAAAAAATAAATCTAAAAAGCAGTAACAATAACTTTTAAAAAAATCTCTGCTGTTTTCTACTGTATTCAACAACTTTACGTGTATTTTATGGGTATTTTTTCCACATGAGAATAGTTATTTGATCATCTCTCAAAAGGTTGAATTTCTGTTAAGGCAAGAATGCAGTCTGTTCATCTCTAACACTAGAGGGAAGTTCACAACCAAGTCAGACTCTGTAACTACAGTTAACAGAGCCTCTCTTCAAACCAGTGTCCAGTGCAAACGCCACTGCTAGATATTTGATGGCTTCGGTACTAGACTTGACCTTGGGAGGGTCAGGCTTCTTTTCCTACATAAATCAGAGCCACCTTAAGGAACAGCAGAGATGGCACAGACACGTTCCACTCGACAGTCAGTACAGTGATCTGCACAGAGGTTCAGGAGAGCCTGCACGATACAGTGACACCTGGTCTCATACAACACAGCTGGTGACGTAAACTCGCAGCAGTCATCACAGGAGAATTCTTGGTTTCGATTCATTCCTTAGACACTAGGAGAGATTCCTCTGAAAAATTCCAAGAGCGTGACTTCTCTGACCAAGTGGTTTTTATTCGGTTGTTTGTTTCTCAGCAATAAGAGGAGACTAAGAATAATAATGATGATAATCCTTTTTGTTTGGTTTGGTTTGGTTTTCGAGACAGGATTTTTCTGTGTAGCCCTAGCTGCGCTGGAAACTCACTCTGTAGACCAGGCTGGCCTTGAACTCAGACATCTGCCTACCTCTGCCTCCCGAGTTCTCAACACCACAAACAGCAATAATACTGATCTTAGAGGTTGTTAAGGGGACATAAAACAATTATGCAAAGTTGTGCCAATGTCCTAGAGTTTTTACTGTTGCTTTGTTTTTTGCAACTTAGGAAACAAATAGTAAACACAAAGCTTAGAGCAGTAGAACTAACAAGATGAGAAACTATTCTGGAGCCAGGCCATTGGCTAAAACAGAGAGAAGCACACAAGCAGGCAACAGAGAAAGCTTTAGTAACCCTCTTAATTCAGAAATAAGCTTAGGATGGACTTCCTGGAAGGGTTACCCTTTCCCAGCCTTCCTTAGTGCCATCTTTTACCAACTGAAAACAAAAACAAAAAAACAAACAAAGCAGCAACAACAACAAACCAGGAAGTCAATGTAGGTAAACACTGTGATAAAAAAAAAAACTATATAGAAAATGGCGAAAGCTTCACAAAAAGGATAAATTCCCCACTTCCTGGTATACCGCAATTCTGACAGCGCCGTTCTGTATATATAGATATGTGTATATTAATGTGACAAAGTAAATAAAAGCCTAACAGATGCTGTTAGAGGAAAAGCACAGACGACACCGGACCTGGACAAGTGTGTCACTCCAGCTCCCAGTACTAACAGTGCTGGTGTCTACAGCAGCCCTAGACGGTCAAGTGGTATAGCTACGGGGCTGCTAGCTTCTCAAACACTAACAATGAGTTACCACACTGCTTAGTAACTCTAAGAATTTAGATAGAAAAAGTAAAACATGAAAGAAAGAGCAATGTTGTTCCCAAGAGTTAATAGGTAGAAACAACCCAAATATCAACAGAAGAACTGAAAACAAAAGAGTGGCCCACACAATCGAATTTACATGGCCATAACAAGGAATGCAATATAGCCGGGGATGTGATTCAGCTGTCAGAATGGGAAGGCCTTAGACCTATCCCCACTGCCCACCTCACAAAGAAAAAGAAAGGAAAAAATAAGCAAAACAACAACAACAACAAAAATAAAGAAATGATATACATATGGCTGACTGCATGAATCTGGAAAAAATGCTAATGCAAGAAACCACACCAAAGGATGCCTACAATGAGATTCTACGGATTCCAGGGTATGCATAATGTCTAAAGCATTGAAATCAAATTCAGAGACAGAAAACAGGTTAGCAGTTGGTAGATGTGATGATCAAGGCTGTCAGCTTGACAGACTTTCGATCATCAGGACATGCATGTTATCCCGGTTATAAAACAGGCGGGAGGACCCACCCACTGCAGGTGGTACCATTCCCTAGCAGGGATTCTAGCCCAGATAAATGCAGAAGGGGAACTGAGCCTAGAATGCAATCTCTGAGTGGATACAATAGGAACAGCTGATTCAAGCTCCTGCTGCCCAACTTCAGCAGCAGGACCAACTCCCTCACAATAAACCTTCTCTCTGAGCTGCTCCTCAGAACACCGCACAGCAAGAGAAAACCAACTCAGACAAACAGAGCAGGACCTAGGGGCACGGCTTTCACTTTCGAGTAGTAAAATGTTTTAAAATTAAGATAGGTTGCAAACTCCTTGGAAATATACACACAACAACAAAAACACTGTCTTATTTATTTTAAAAGTTTTTAATTTTGTTATTTTGAGACAGAGTCTCATGTAGCACACAATGGCCTCAAATATACTATGAAGCTGAGGCTGACTCTGAACTCCTGACCCTTCTGCCTCTGTCGCTCAAGTACTGAGATTACAGATGTGTGCTACCATACCTGGAAAAAAAAGCAGCAACTTTATAAAATGTAAAGAAAAAAAAATCGGGTTGGAGAGATGGCTCAGAGGGTAAGAGCATTGCCTGTTCTTCCAAAGGTCCTGAGTTCAATTCCCAGCAACCACATGGTGGCTCACAACCATCTGTAATGAGATCTGGTGCCCTCTTCTGGCCTGCAGGCATACATGCAGACAGAATATTGTATACATAATAAATAAATACTTAAAAAAAAGAAAAAGAAAAAAATCTAAAATGTTCAACTGGGTTGGGAAGGAAATGAGGCCAAGAAGTTGTATTTAATAGTGCTTAATAAGTGAGGGATATAGGCACTACTCTTAATTAACTGTTAAACATATATTTCATGTACCAAGAAAAGGCAGCTTCCACCAAGAGATCTGTGGATACAAAACTAGGTTTATTTACAAATTTACACATATTTTCAAATTATTCCTTACCAAAACTAAGCTATGACTTTCTCTACACTGTAAGCACAGTAACTGTCCAGGAAGACTGCAGGGACACGGAGCGCCCACAGTGGCACAGCTCACATCAGTGCAGGGAAGGAAAGGTGAACTAAGAGGTGATCTCTGGGGACTGCACGTGTAGCTCAGTTGACAGAGTGCCTGACGAAGCCCTAGATTCAACCTCCAGCACTGCTAAACCAGATGTGGCAGCGCATACCTGCAATCCTAGCACTGGCAGGTGGAGCGAGAGTCTGGGAGCTCAACAGCATCCTACAGGGCCAGTTGGAGGCCAGTCTGGAATACACAGATCTTGTCCTAAGCCAAGTCGAACCAACCGATGACAAAAAAAGAAATGGTCTCTGTATCAAGAAATCCAACTGACCAATCAATCAACCAATCAACCGACAGTCTACAAAAATAAGAACACAGAAATAACAATACAGTCAATGGAGGAAAAGAAACCTAAAAAAAGGTTTATTCAAGTAGTGACATTTGTGAACACAAGAAAAGGATTAGTGACATTTTACCTATCAAGGAACTGGAGCATAGAAAATTGCTTTTTATTATTTGTGTGTGTGTGTGTGTGTTTGAGAGAGAGAAGAGACAGATAGAGACAGAAAGAGATAGGGAGAGATCCAAGTGATCTGATGTACTGACCTATATGGACACCCACACAAAAATGGCTTACACACACAGATGCATGCATACAACCTAAGAATAAAACTACAAAAAACCCCACATTTTTTCACTGGTACTTTATATTCTTCTTTTATACCCCATTTCATTAATTTTTGCCCTGATTTTGATCACTTTGTCTGTCTGCTGACTGAGGATTGGACTTACATGGAGGTTTAAAAGCTCATAGCTGATTCAAAGCTTGCCTCTCCCTACCAGCAGGGTGACTTTGTGGAGTCAATCACCTGTTCGACTTGGACTTGTGGACTCTTCTTCTGTAAATGGAGGTTTGGGGCAAATAAAAGATAAGAAATGTGCCAATCACATACTCGCTGTGTCATGCCTCCATTATATATATGTAAACCTGAAAAGAATTCTAGAAAGCCATAAGAAGAATCAATTAGAACACAAGCAGGAGTTAAAAGAGGTGATTAAAAAAAGTATGCTAATAATCTTTAAAATGTAGGTAAATATTGTTTTCCAACACTAGCTTCAGTCATGTGGATGGAACATGTTCAAGATGTAAATACAGTAATTAGTTAT